CTATATAAATGATATCGTGAAGCTTTTAAAAAAACTCTCCATGTAATTCTTTTTCGCTTGAAAGATTGCAAAATTTTGGCATAAAATATCTGATGTTTAATTATTTTGCTAGTTACTGCAACGACGAGCCTAAATCGAATGATATGTGTTACGAAAAACAGAACTTCAACTTAATATAAAACAAATATAAAACTACTTCGATGAAATCGTGGCCATACTGAAAGTAACAGTAGATTATAGTATTCAAAATACAATAATTGAATGCTGTTTCAACACATTAAAGATCTGGGAGGAGTTGCATGGATACCCAAAAATGTCTTTTAAATAAACACATTGATTACATCGTCAATGCTTCACTTGGAACTTGGATTGGAAAAAAACTTGGATTTATCAACCAGCAACACACTGCATAAATTTAATCAATGAAAACGATTTAAAACTCTTTATAATCCCTTGTCAAATCAAAATTGATGTATTGTTCTTCAGGCTGCGTCACCAAATGCTGAATATCTTTAACAAAAAGATTTGAACGATTCAACCATTTATTTCTTCTCTATGTAGCTTTCAAATAAAAAAACCAATCCGAGGTTATACATCATGACTACAATGAAATAATCTAGCTATTCTGCAAAAACCAACTTTGTCATCTCGCAGAAAAGTACACGACGTGTTATTTATGAAAAATTATTGACTGGAAAAATTAAAAGGTACCTCACTTTGAAATATATGTATCAAATTGTAGGACTATCCATACACCAATTGGCGAAGATCTACTCTACTGAGAGACTTGACTGTAGAACTGACTATTTCTATAAATTATCTGCATTACCACGGTTTAGCCAGAATCACAAATACATATATGAATGAAATTGATTTGATCGAAATACATCAATAGCTAAAATGAATTATTAGAGTAACACGACTCAAAATGTTTCGCAAATAAATTTACTACTTCATTTCCAGATTCTGCAGAACCATTGCCTAGTTTAACATTAAGTGGAATGCCCTATTCAGATTTTCTGTCATCAGTGAAGTTCCAAAATTTTTTTGATCTTCCGTCAATAGATCTCTTAATCGATTCAGTTTGATGATTATCAATGTTTCTTCTCAGTTTTTTACATTCCGCACGTGATCTTGAAAACTTGATTTTCGCATCGTCAGAGTTAGGGTTCTTTTCAGAAATAAAATGAGCTTTCTTTTTATCAATTAATAGGTATTTGAGACTTGTATCTTTGACTATTTTTTTTACTCTCATTATTAGAAATTATACGTTTGGGTATATGTTTATCAAAAATCAAATCAATTTGGGTGTAAAAAAATTTGCAAGCTTAATCAATCATTAATGGATCCATTTGTGACCAATTGATTTCAATTTAAGTCTTTTTCGATTGATCGAATATCAGCTTTATTATAATCGAATATATGATTGATATTAGATATAATTTTGTTGTGATTATATTTAAGGCGTAATTTTAACGATAATGCTGGGTGGTACTTATCACAAGACAATATAGGATCATAGTTTTTATATATATCATAGTGAGAATTTGATGTTAAACACAGATCAAGAAATCCTTTGTCGAAAACGGATTTCAAGTTACATTCTCTCGGTGTTATTGTCAGTCCTACGTTTTCATTTATCCAATTGACTTTTGGTAAATTGTAATCACCAATTACTGTAAAAGAAGTATAGTTATCTAACAAAAGTTCATCAATGCTATTGCAATGTTGTAAGTAAGATTCAGGAGGTGAATTTGGAGGAAAATAAACAGAGCCAAAAATATGTTTTGATTTGCCGATAGTCAATTGGATAAATATTTTCTCAAACTGTGCACTATTTGATTTTAGTAAGATACTAGCATAAGACTCACAAACCGCTATGAGTATTCCTCCTCCTCTTTGTTGAGATTCTCTGTCTTGTCTGTGTATGTTGTATCCTTGAAGGTTGAGTTCACCGTTGTGAATGTCTGCATGAAGCCAGGTCTCGGTAAAGATGATGATGTCAGGTCTGGGAGTTTGAAGTTGTGCATCGTTGAATTTCAAGCTTAGTCCGAAGTCCCCTGACGTTTTCAAAGTAGATTATAACGTCTTTTTCTACTTTTTTTGGGATAGATGTTCTATGTTTTTGTTGACTAGATGAAGAAGTCGAATCATCATTTTTGTCATCTTTGATGTCACGTATGCGGGGTACACAGTTTATGAATTTAATTTGTTTTTTTCCCCAGATTTTCAGGTTTGTTTACTTCAGTTTTTATCTTATTAAATTCATCCCTCTGGTTTCTGGTGTAGTCTGCTTGAAATGAAACTTCACCTTTGACAGTTGATTTTTTTCTCAGAATTTTGATGACATCATCCTTTGAAGCAAACGTAACTCGCATAGGCTTTGGTCTTTGCTTGCTTTTTTAATTGATTCTCACAATTTTGGAATGGGTCACATCTTGTTCTTTCAATTTCGCTAATATATTAACAAGGGCTTCTTTGTGTGCGATTCATTCTGCCAAATCTTGACTATCGCTCTCCTTGATATCATAGAAGATGATATTTTTTTCTTTTTTCTGGCGTAGGGAAATTTCTTCGATGACGCCTGTAGGATTTAAGTTGGAGACATTCTTATCAGTTTTGATTTTTGATAAACGATTTTTAAATAACCTCAGTAACCTTATTTTGAAATTCATTGAATGACTTGGTAAGTTCGTCAATCTTTGTGAATTTGTTTTCAAGAGATTGCATTGACTGTAGCATCATTGGAACTGATCTCAGACCTTTTGAGCATTTGGGACAGAGATATAGCAATCTCTTTTCCGATTTCAATTCTATGCTTCTTTGTTCAGTCGGTGAAATATCATCACATCTATAATGAAGATGACATGAACAACTATCACAAATCGCATATTTTGTTAGTGCTTCAATCTCTTTAGAACAAATATCACACTTAAATTTGTCTGCCATTTGACCAAATTATTGGCTTGTCACTAATCACTAACTTTTATGTATTGTTGAACAGTGTTGTTGTTAAAAATTGTTACTAAAAAGTATGCTATTCACTTTGAATTTTGAAAAAAAATTCAGTTTTATTCGAGCTATACAAACTTTCTATTCTATTCAACGGTTATCAGTCCACGACGATACCAAAACAAAAATACGTCCGACTCCGACCGCCGTTGAATTGACTCAGAGTTATTTCTTTTGTATTTGTTGTTTGTATAATTGAATGTATAGCTGCTGGCTTTATTTATTATAAATAAATAATTCATCTCCCACAAAAAATACCCTTCTGCATTAGCACGCAGCTGTTAGTCCAACAGTGTGCCAAGGAGTCCAGAAATTGAGCAATTTAATGGGATTGTAAAAACTATTTATTGTAATCACCAACTAATAATTATTGAAATTTACTGTGTTTCAATGTATCAACTACTTGTTTTCTATATTAGTGAATTTATTTTCCCAATACAGATGCAGGATGTAACAGAAGCTGAAATTCGTGAAAGTTATCGCCCCAGCTTCGTGGCGTTTGGCCACGGCGACGAGGACGGCTCCGCTGGCAGCAATGGGGCAGCCGCGGCAGGCTTCGTGGTGAAGGGGGCGCCCTGGGAGCAGCGCGCTCCAGACACCGCCAGCACCCAAGAGTTCCCTTCCTTCGCTGGCGCGGGCGAAGCCCCTCCTGCTGCCCCTCCAGCAGGAGCATGGGGATCACGTCGTGCCACGTAGCTCTCCTTCACTTCTTATTTTGTCAATATTTGTGGTGGGAATTGCATTGTAGGTAACATTAAAAAGATAATTATTGATAGATCTATTGCATCTGACAAAGTGAATTGCATCAGGGGATGCCAAAGTTACTTTTCCAAGAAATCACTGCTTCTTATTTCAATAAATAGCTACATTGCATGCAATCACTGATGTGGAGCTTGGACCCAGGACTGGCGCCTATCCTTGGGTGCCCTGCGCCAGTCCTGCGTGAGCTCCTGGTTCCGTAAGGTGGCTCCCCATCCCTCACTGCCTGCTGCATTAACGACCCGGGCCTGCGATCTCTGGACTGCGACAATTGGTACTGGCTGATTGGATGTACACTCAAGGTCTTCCCCTCTACTGCATCGCTACTACTGGACTCGTCTCTGGTCCAAGTCCTGACTTAGTGTCTGGTGCCCTGGGGCAGAGGAATTTTAGGCAACAAGAACAGCACACTGACTTTTGCTGCTCAGTTGTAAAGTGTTTTAAAACAAAACAAATCTTTTAAATGAATGTGCCATGGGAATGCTACGTCATTTTCATTATAGTATACTCTATTTATACTAGATACTTATGTTGGTGTGTTTGCTCAAGTTGCGTTCAGCTTCTCTGCCCAAGGGCTGTTTACAAGAGATGTTAATATTTTTTAAAGATTATTTTGTTTGTTTGCAGAAGCAGGCAAAGGAGCAGCCTCCCCATTTGTAACTTTTTATTAGATGTTTAGTTTGAAATGTGGGACTTACATTGTATACTTTATCTCTTTTGTTCCTTTCCCTATATAAGAACAACTGCCTTAGCATAATATGGGTGAAGGAGGTTTATATACTACATATATAATTATATATATATACATACATTACTAAAAAGAGAGAAATTATCTTAAGTTTATATCAAATTCAATCTGAGCACTGTGCAGTGATATAGTGAAATCAACAAGAAGATTACTGTAAGGCATTTGTATTGATACAACTCCATAGTAGCCTCCACTTGTGGTGCTATGCTAGGTGAGAATTGCGAATAAAGTTCATATATTATACAATTGTGTGTTTTCATTTTCCAAGCATTCTGTTTACTATTTTTGAAGAATTTACACTCCATATTTGAAAGCCTGTGTCTTTGCACTACAGTGTTATGGAGCACTTTTTAAAAAGTTGATTACAGTGCTTACCGTAAGGTTGTATGTACATACCAATCATGATTGGGACTGGACAATCCACTCCTTCCACAGTTCGCAACATGTCTGAAGGAAAGTTTTTTTTTGATAAGTCGTTCCATCTGTCTTCCAATATCGTCATGAGGTAGCAGTAATAATTGGTTAAATAGAAATGGTAGAAATTTTGATTAGAAACTGTTGATGTAAAGTAATAAAGGAAAAACATTTCCTTCACATCATAATGGAAACACAAAGAAATTATAGGGCTCAGATTTGTTGTAATTACAAATTACTAATGCAGTTTCACACATTATAAATGTACCTACATGGGTGCAATTGCAGTGGTGACCGATACCCCCAAAAGACTGAAGATTGCACCTTCATCAAATGACGGAAATTAAATTTCAAAGATTCAAAATACACAAATATAATAATAATAATAATAATAATAATAATAATAATAATAATAATAATAATAATACTGAAATTCATTAAAACTAAGTTACACAAAAGTCTAGGTTAAAGTAGAGCAAACTGTACATCATTGAAGCCCGGTGGTGGTGGGGGAGTTCTAAGCCCTCCCTCAAATTACGCTACACGCTCTGATAGAAATGAATAAAAAAACTTACGGATAGACGATTTTCATTGGTCGCCCTTCTTACTCTTTGTCCCCGCCGCATTGTGACCCCAATTTACTTTTAAAGGCAAGTTTTCTCGCTTCGCTCGCCTGGATCCAAGTCACGGCGAGGTTCAGGCCTTCGCCCTCGCGTTCACTACAAACCTTGAGTCTATCCGCAGCATAATTTTCAATTCACTTTTATAAGAAATCCTCCAGAATACAAACAGCACAGTTGCCGCCTTAGCGGCGCGAAGTGTCGGTTCGTTCCTTTTAATGACATTCAAGATATTGCAGCAATATCGATGTATATGAAATAGTTTTTAAACGAGCGTCCAACTGCCGCCAAGACTTTCGTAATTTGTACCGTATACTAGACTTCAAGAGTCTATATTGAATCATTACTTAAATAATTTTATGCGTCGTGGCCGAGGCTGGCACACTGTTATCAAAAGTATCCGAACACATGGCTGAAAATGACTTACCAGTTCGTGGCGCCCTCGTGGTTATACTGGATTCAATAGGGTGTTGGCTCACAGTTAGCTTTGATGACAGCTTCCACTCTCGCAGGCATGCTTTCAATCAGGAGTTGGAAGGTTTCTTGGGGAATGGCAGCACATTTTCACGGAGTGCTGCACTGAGGGGAGGTATCGATGTAGCTCGATGAGGCCTGGCACGAAGTCGGCGTTCCAAAACATCCCAAAGGTGTTCGATAGGATTCAAGCCATGACTCTGCAGACCAGTCCATTATTATTGTCGTGTAACCACACCACCACAGATCGTGCAGTATGAACACGTGCTCGATCGTGTTGAAAGATGCAATCGCCATCCCCGAATCGCTCCTCAACAATGGGAAGCAAGGTGTTTGAAACATCAACGTAGGCCCGTGCCGTAATAGTGCCACACAACATGGGGTGCAAGTCCCTTCATGAAAAACACGACCACACCATAACAATTTTGGATACTTTCCGATACTTTTGGTCACGTAGTGTATATTATACACCTCCCGCGCACTGACTTCCACTGGACACTTACGTTCGACTCGACTCCAGCACATCGCAACAAACATTATTGCTTCCACACATTTCACACTAATATTAATTTGTTTCGAAAATATCACTACCGTGGTATAATTTGTATCGAAGATCCTTCCACACACGCTCATGTTCCACCAACATCAGCGCTCTTCGTGGGGTAACTGTGCAGCCTCTACATCTACCGACAAAGGGACTTCCTTCCAGATCAGCCAATTTTACACTAAGAATTTATTGCATGTACATTTTAAATCAATAAATTTAATATCAAATGAAAACAAATTCTCTAAACATCTTAAATAATGTATTAAATGCCGTCAATAATTGACTGAACTTGTGTACTTTCAATAAGTGAAATTCATAAAATTACGTTGCAATGAGTCAAAGATAGAATTTTGGTATTCCCCTAAGACGCGCAGCGCTATCCGCCAGGTTGCCCAACCTAAAGACCCTGTGTTGCCTGTGTTAAATCGAGGTGCCAAAGAGTAACTGCAGTTTACTCAGTAATACAAACAAGATCCAAAAAAGTGGAAGGTGCAATATCTGGCAAGGCATCGGAGAGAGCGGCAGTTGGACGCTCGTTTAAAAATGATTTCATATACATCGATATTGCTGCAATATCTTGAATATTGAATGTCATTAAAAGGAACGTGTATATTCCTAAGATATTAAGAGGACTTTTTCGATGTTATCTGGGGGTTGTGCAACCCAAGCACGAACCGCCTCTGGCAATGTGTAGACGAGAAAGGACTGTAGCATCATACACAGTGCTTTGATTTTTTTACTTTTATAATTACGCAAGCAACAAGTTTTTTTAAAATCAAATATGGTGTTCACTTGCCGCAAAACACCACTTTTGTAACTTGCCATTTGCTCTCTGCAATTTGTCATTACTTTGGAGTTCCCCATTCAAAATATTCAATAGAGCTTCATGTTTATGTCACATCCTAAAGTACTGAAAGACTTTTTCATCGTCAACACATTCCTCACATAATTTCCCTTTGGTCGTTCTCTTTCTGTTTCGACCCAGAATCTGGGCTGTCTTCGACGCCTTACCCCATTTTCGACTTCTGGTATTAAAATGAACGCAAATGCATCAATGCTGAGGGACCTGTGCTTAGTTCACAAAGCCAATAAGCCGAAAGAAGGAAGGTAGAAATATACACAAATAAATAGACATAAAATACACGTGTTAACGCAAGTAATTTATTACGAAGAGGAACCAGATTTATTAACTTTTTCGATACCAAGGCCCCACAATGTGAGTCGTCTCTAATTCTGCTGCATTATTGTTTACTACTATGTACATAGTACTGTGGCGATCAACTGAAAAAAAGTACATATTAGTTAAGTTGAAGAAGGGATATTCCAAACATTTCGAAACTTTGGCAATTTTCGGAAATTCAGAATTCACAATGAAAGTTGGACCTAAGCTATCTTTATAATTATTTTTCTCTATTCTTACAAGGAATGCACAGAAAAAATTTTACCCCCCCCTCCCAAGGGCTTTAAGTAGTCAGCGAAATTTTATTTTTTTAGTACTGAGTCCCAAAACATCCATAGTGAAATTGATTTTCTGCAGCTTTATGCAACTTGCTTTATAGTATGTATACTATTCCATACACATCTGTATAGATGTATGTATATGTATGTACTATTATGTGTAACACCACATAAATAAATCAAGTCTTTTACTATTCCTTCTTTCAGAAATTACACTCTGAAAATCAAACTTTGTTCATTCACATTTGATAATTTGTGTTACAAATATTGCCTGAATGAAAATATATTAGGTAAATTACACTTTTATTTGTAGGCCAAAGTATACTGAATTCCATGAATTTTATTTTAAAATACTAGAACAACCCAGCGCTGTGTATTTTAAAAAAGCTAAATATAGCTACAAATGCAAAAAATGGCATGTGGCTTCAAAAAAAATTCCCCACCATTTCTAAACCATGTATAATACAAAATAATTTTTATCATTAAGTAATTTACAAAAGTAGTATGATTATTTCAGATGTGATGTAACCAATTTATTTAATTCAGGAAGACTCCTTTAAGTCAATATCATTATAAAAACCTGAAGGTGGTCCTGATTTTAAATACAAAAAGTTTCGTGTTGTATTGTTTTCTTTTTCTCATATTTTATGCAGTATCAGAGACAAAAGGCACAATTCAAAAGTTGTAGATGCATTTGTAAATCAGATAATCTCATGTTATCTCTGAAATTTGTTGCTCTTTTCACATCTAATAACAAATATTGCAGGATTTGTCGTTTTTATATGTGATTATCTCCATTTTGATTATAATCCACTCCTTTCATACATTGAGAAAATGTTCAGATTTTTTTGTTTTGTTTTTGGATCTTCATCTGGTCTTCCTCCCTTACCAATTGTGGCGTCACCAAATAATATTATAATAATTTCGTATCGAAATAGCTCCCATCACAGTTAAGTAGG